TGATCTTTCTCTCTCTCTCATATATATATATATATATATATATATATATTGTGTGTATGTGTGTGTTTAAGAATTATTAGGACCTATTCTCCCTTGCATTTGTATAAAATCAACCTTAATTTATTCTTGTCCTCAGTATACAGCCATGGAAAATGAGTAAAGCTCCAAGGTTGACAACACTTCCCCATAACAATCCAGTTTAATATGCTAGCATTACTTGCAAGGAAAAGAGCAACTATTTCACATCACAAAAAATAAAACATTTCTTTAGTTTGAAAAATAATCCTGTCATAATTACAATTTTAACTAATGCAAATTCAATAGATTTTCAATTATTAATGGTTTATAAAATAGGATTTTTGAATAACCTTTATATATATATATATATATATATATATATATATATATATATATATATATATATATATATATATTTATTTATTTGTGTATTTAGGAAGCAAATTATCTTTTAGGCAAGTCTGATTGAATAAATTACAAACATTTTTTATTTTTATCATAATCCTTTCATATTCATGAATATTTTTCTGTATATTACAATTAAATAAGGCAAGAAATGCACTGTAACAGTGAGAATCACTTTTCTCCTGCTTCTGTTTGTTGAGAAGAGTAAATAAGTTATCATTAGTTATTTTGATCTGCCTTTTTACAAGGCCACATTTAAATTGTCAAAACAACATCACCTGGTATTCAACACACTTGGCTGTTTATATGACCAATTCTCTCAATATTTACACAAGTATAGAATTTATAGATGAATAAATATAAAAACATTTCTTTTCATCTATTTTAATATTTATATAAATTATGTAATTCAACTATAATTCCTTTTATCATATTTATTTGTTAACTTTGATAATTTATATTTTATAAGATTCAAGACTGTTTCATGCATTCTGTTTCTTTCCACCTTCATTGCTAAGGGTCAGGAACCATGGACAATACTTGCATTTTTGAATTCAGGGTTGTTCTTCATCTAGACTGGTTGCCAACCAAAGCTAGATAACCCAATCTGCTCTTTTATTTAACCCATATCTGATGGGAGAAGAGATAGATTCATACTTTTCTTCCAAAAGAATTTGCCCATAAGTGAATATAATGAACTTGATTAGAATTTGAACTTGGCTCTCCAATTTCTCATTCTGAACACCACCCACACATTCTTTAGTACATGATTTTTATCAAGGAAAAAAAGAAGTAACACCAGCGGGTCCTGAATCCTCTTTTAAACATTACTTGGAATCTGGCTACTGAACTGCAGTTCATGCACTCTCAACACAAGTATGAAGCTGGTGGACACTTGAAGGGCTGTTATCAAGGTGATTAAGGAGTCCAAACTACCCCAGTTTTGAAATCAGAGTGATCCTTCTCCTAGACAGACAGCTAACCAAGGTTAACAAATCTCTGTCTAGCTGGACTGTTCCATGAAGGAATGAATAATCTAGGGATCCTTATTTATCTTTCTAATTCATGTAAAACTAATTTGTATTAGTTTATATTTTATGATAGTTTTATTATTGTGACAAAAACATGCATAAAGATGTCTCTTCCATATGATAATTCCATATGTTTCTTTGATTTTAATGATGTCATCAAAAAGATTTTTGTTTAACCCCACAATGTGTATAGTATGTAAATTGACAAATAAAACCCTGAGTAAAAATCTTATTTCTTTGTAGTGATCAACACAAAAAGTTTCTACTTCTTCATAACTTTTCTCTAAATCTCTTATCCTTTTATAAATAATCAACTATTTATGCTTTGTTTCTACAGTATGCTTTGGTATATGATTTGTTTTTACTCTAATTTCATCAACAACTGAATTATTGAATCTCAAAATGGAGTGAATGTGTTGATTGAAGCAATTGTATGTTTCAAACATATGATATGTGGATGACACAGTGTTGCTAGCAGACTCAGAAAGTAACATAGTAAAATGGCATATTAGTAGTAATGTAAAGCAAAAAGAAAGGACTAACTATTAACAGTAAGAAGGTAGAATACATAGTTGTCAGCAAAAGAGACAACCTAAAGTGTAAGCTAAGTAACAGGGATGTCAGAATCAAACAGGTACAGAAATAAAATGAAATAACAGGTGACAAAAAATGTAACACAGAAATCTAAAGGCGCATAGGAACAGTAAAAGAGGTCTTTCAGAAAGAAATACTTAATACTTTACTTAAAGTGATAGGAAAATATTCTTAGAAACAAAGAAAAGAGTGATGAATTGCTATGTAATATATAATCTATATAGCAATGAATGTTGAACAATCTCTTCAGGCCTTTCATAAACTAAGCAAAGTATTAAGAGATAGAAAAATGTCATTAGAAACAAAGAAAAAGAGTGCTGGACTGCTATGTAATACTAAGCTTCTATATGGCAGTGAATACTGGACAATTTCCTCACAGATGAAGAGACTTGAAATGACAGATATGGTTCTGCCACTAAATGCTAAAAATACCATGGGCAGAACATGTGAACAACAAGGAAGTCTTAAGGAAAACAGAAACAAAAAGGACATTTATAATTAGAACCAGAAAGAGAGAGTTGAAATTTCTTGGTCACATGAAGAGGAAAGAGAATGTACCACACACAGGATATATTGAATGAAAGAGAATTTAGGGCAAACTGTGATTAACTTCCTTAATGAGTTTCTACAAAAGGATGTAAAAACAGAGAATAAAATAATTTTGCATTAACAAATTTCATGCTGGGTTTGGTATCTTATAATGTTATTTGTTGCTTTATTTATTACAAACTTCTAGGTTGAATATTCAACTATTAAAATAAGTAGTTTGAGATAGGAACAAAGTAACTTGTGATAAAACAAACTTGGGAACATGTATTTCATGGATTAAACTGATTAAATCTTTAACTGATTCAACTACATCAGGCTTCTGGGTGGCCAAGACACAAATCTCCTCTAAATTTTGACACTATATTATTTGATTTTATTACTGAGTAAATTATTTTAACTCAAAGAGTTGAAGCATTTTAACTGTAAATCTTTGGTTAATATTTATATATCAAAATTGATAAAGCATGTCCTGTTTCTTTTTATATAATGTTACATTTTACATATTTTCTTTCATCTTAAAAAAGATAAAATAAGAAAAGAGATATTAAAGATACTAATAAACGAAAGGAGGTGATAAAAAAAAAAAAAACAGAACAAAATGTAATTAGAATAAGAGCAAACAAAGAATTTCTTAATTGAGTCATTTTAAGATGATCTTTACACCAAATATATGAATGTGCCAAAACAATACAAATGAATATATATGCTAAGTAAGAAGATCAGCTTCTAACAAAATACCCTTTACTCACATCATCTCCCCACACAACAAAAAAAGTAGAAATTGTAGGAAAAAGTATAATTCATGCCATTAGCTAGAATGAGTTCTGTCAGGTTTCTATAACCTTAGCAGTGAATTTCTAAAAGGTTTACCAAACTCTGGAATATTTTGTGGAGACCTTAACTTCCCATGCCAACTCCCCTATCTTGTATATGATGCTTGTTAATCAGATATAGCAGATTTGATAAAGCTGACAATAAAGATTCTGTTCACTTGACAATATAGCAACAAAAATGTACAAAAATATAAATTCACACTTAAAATACAATACAGTCATTCTGCTGTTAGACTGTTCATTGTTGTATCTAATTCACAAAAGTAAGAAAACAAATACTTTTTTTTAAACAGAATGAATAAAACATACAAGTTTAAGATTGAGGCCAAGTTTACTCATGAGAATTTCAAAATAACACAAAGTACAAGGTTTGATCAAAAAGTATCAGATATGGTGATATAAATAGAAAATTACAGCATATATCAATTTGGCATTTAATCTCCTTTGAAGTAGTGAAGCCACACACATTATCCAGCATCGTTCCCATTGATAGAAGAATTCCTGGAAATCTTTTTTTTGGATGTTGAGCCGCTGAATTGCTGTATTCCCTTGGATACCCTTGATATTTTGAAATCCTTTTCATTTCAAGTAGGATTTGAATTTTGAAGAGGAAAAAGTCACATGGAGAAAAATCTGGGGAATATAGTGGTTGTCAGACCTGGAGAATGTTGTCTTGACCAAAAACTGCAGCACAAGCCATAGCTACAGATGGAACCTCTGTGGTGTGGCAACACACTCTATACACTTTCCTTCCAAGCACTGCTATAAACAACAGATGTTATAAATTAGTGTGTCTGCGTAACAGAGTTCAAAGTTAATCTGTGTCAAGCTGCTTCACGTTATGTACTTTAGCTCTGTTACTATAGCAACAGTCCTGATATCTTTTGATCAGATCTTGTACACTTCTTTTAATCAAGCAATTGCAAAATCTATTATTGACCCTCAATATGAATAAAGTTTAGACAAAAATCTCGTAGTTCAAAAAATATTGATTGGTGGCTATGGCTCAATAAAGGATTAGAAATTAAAATTGCTATTTTCAATTTGCATTAGAAGATTTAAAAAAAAAAAAAAAGAAATATTTTGGGTTAATTTCAAGCACCAGCTGATTATCATTTTTAGCACAAAAAGTTTTACAAGTGGCCAACCTAGTAAGTGTACACTCAATCAATACTTTTATTAGATATGAATAATAACTCAATAAGTGAATATATACTATTATTGAAGGAAGATAATTTTCTGGGTGGAACACTACAAGTAATAGATTATAATCTACATCTATGTAAATGCATTCAATTATATTGCTGCTTCACATTCATTTTTTTTTAACAATTCACTCAAAGCAAGGTAATAATGCCACCCAAAACACTAGAGGCTACTGGGAGTGAAAGAAAATGAAAAGACTTTAAAAAGAACCTGAAACTCAATCCTAAACAGGAAATTAGGGATAAATCTCTACTCCTATTCAAAAGACCAAGAAGAATTGAGTATATATAGTTTTATACATATATATTTTTACTTTTCCAATAGATATTTGATATCAGACTGATAAGAATTATCAATTACTTACATCTGTTGTTTGTGCTAGTGGATGATCCACACACTGTTGCAGCTTGGATGACGAACCATCTTTATGACCTCGACGTAGGCCTTCTGCCTGAACTTTGTTGTCAGACTGCAAATAGAATAAAGCAACATCAAGCAACTGAATTACATCAAATATTATTTTTAAATTTTACTGAAGTATTAGTAATACAAGTAAATCATTGTGAGTTATCTTGTTCTTATTCTGCATTTCACCTATCTCCATGAAAACATACCAACAACTAAGAAAAATTAGATAAATATCTGGATTTGTAAAAGAAAACTGATGGTATATTTGCAAATATGTTTATAAAGAAGTTTGACAGAAATTCAAAATTCTCTAGAAAAGAATAGTGATGAGAGCACATAATTATTTTTGTTACAACATATAACATTTTCAAATCAATCACGCATGGTTTTAAAGTCAATGACATTTCAACATGGTTGCTAAACTTGTTTTGCTAAATCAATTACAGCTGAGTTATGTGCTTGAGCCTCATTCGGTGCTCCATACTTGTGGCCTTGAACCACATCTAAGCTATGATTAGCAAATTACAACATAAACAAATACTGACTATTCACTCTTAAAATGTGTTTAATTTTGGTCATAAGTATAAAAGAAATTTAAGCCATCTTAATGGAAGAAACAAAGAAAAACTTTTTCGTGTTTTCTTTCATGCACCAGAGTTTGGTTGCTGCCACTATTTAAAGCTACCAATTTAAATTTTTATATGAATTAATTTTTTTTTTTCTTTTTATTGAAATTTTCTTGAAAGTTGTTAAACTTCATTAGGAATTTTAGATTTTTTTTGTCATAAAGATAATCAGAGATAGTAACATAGAAATAAAAGAAAAAGACAAAATATCATTGCTTTTATGAGACATTGTTATTTTTTTTAATCATTTCAGCCCAAGCAAGGCAATAAAGCCACTAGAATGCAAGAGGTTACTGAGTGTTAGAGAATATGAGAAAAACTACTACTAAGGAGAAAGAGGAAAATTCTATTTCAGGAGACAAGTTAATAAAAGCTAACCACTCAATAACATTGACAAATACAGAAGAAAAAAACAAAACAATTTTTTTACTTGATAAACCTTAACTTGATTGGTGATTGTTCAATGTAATATGTTGCTGAAGTTTATAATCTGTAGAAAATAGTAGTATATTCTAATGTTAAATTAATCATTTTTTTACCCTTAGAGATTGATTTAAAGACATCAGTATGTGTAAAATCAATGCTATTACTAATAATATCCAGATATATAGGGAATCTAAGAAAACATAGACCCAAAGACACATACACACACCCATTTTATTTGTTAAATATATAAAGTTTTATATTGCCCATCTATGAATAATATGTAAACAAAAAAAATCAAGGAAATATAAAAAGACACAAATATAAATACTGATACAGAAAAGTATATAACACTTCTAAAAAAAAAAAAAAAAAAAATAATAAATTATGAATACCTCAAGCATAACAGCCAGTGTGATAGATAAATGCTTTTTCTTTCTTTAAAATAGTAAAGTAGGAGTTTAAAAAAGTACAGATGAAAGTGTTTCTCTGTAGAGTAAATAATAAATATTTTAAAAGCTTTTCTTTTCACTTTACAGAGCAATATATGAGATATATTGTTTTGTAAAACAATATGCAGAAAAAAAACAATTGTCCTATAATAGTATTTTTAATGAAAACATTTCTATGTCCATATTTATTTAGAAAACTAAGTTATTCTTTTGCCAATCATCAATAAAAAGAATTTAGCTAAAGAATAATTATACAAAACGTATAAAAACAAGTTTACAAATCCACATTTCTACTGGGATTAACTTGTATGCAGTTATTTTTTAACTAATTTCAGTTTTGACTTGGAACAAAACCATGCATTCTTCAACCTTACTCAAGTGTATTTAATGTTAAAGAATGCTGATACTTAAAAAGAAACAGTTGAAATTTCTTGGGCACATAATGAGAAAAGAGGGCTTAGAAAATTTGATATTTACAGGATAAATTGAAAGCAAGAGGAATAGAAGAAAACAACCCATAACATGCCTAGAGAGCTTGAGTAAATGGATGGTGGATTAGGGTTTAGGAGAGATAACAAAAAGACTAAATTTTTTAAGTGCTACAAAGAAGAGAAAATTATTGAGAGCATGAGGGTCCATGGCACATAAGAGAAAAGAATCTTCAAAGACCATTGAACAGAGTCTCTCATTCACATCCTTTTTTTTTTAATTAAATTTTTCCACCACAATATTTAACCCACTGTAAAATACCATTCTGTTATGGTCCAAAATCCTTGCACCACAGTTATGGTCCAAGGTTAGAACCAAGGAAGTACAACACGAACACAAGAGTAGAATAACAAAGATATATTACAACAGAAATATAGTACAAGAAGTTGAAGGTGTTACTAATGACTGTCCGTTTGGTTTAGAGTGAACTAATATTGTCTCAACTCGTTACACCATTCATTCATTATACCTCTTGAGAGGCGCAGTATTTATAGTGTCAGGAAGAGTCCATTATCGTTATAGGTAAGTTCCCATAACACCCCCCACTTCCAAAGCTTTTGCATCTCAGGGGTCTTTAGTATTTTTTCCTCTTTGGATTTATTATCAAAGGCTCTGTGACTTTTCTTTTCCTGGTCGATTTTTGTGGTTCAGACATTGTTTGCGGCCTTTGCATATCAAATGTGTCGAATATTGTATCCATCACTTCTTCTTCTTGAGGTGGACTGTTAGAATCATCTAACAGCCTCTTTCTTATTTGATTTACATGTCTTTTATGTGAGAATTTCGGGCCCTGTACTATGTAACTCATGTTCCTGATTCTTTTTTCAATTGTACCTTGCTCCCAGTAGGACATATTGTTTTTATATATCTTAAAAAACTTTTTCTCCTGGGTGAAATGTTCTTTTTGGTATGCATGACATTGGTATTTGCTTTGTTTGTTTTGGTAGCAATTTGTCAAATACTGATCTGATTTTTCGGGCAGACATCACTTCCGCGGGTGATAATGCCGATAGCATAGCACTGTTTGGTGTAATTCGATATACTTGTAAAAATTGTTGCAACGCCTTTTCTGTTGGTACATCAAATGCTTTCCTTAACACTCTTTTGAGTGTGTCTACAAATCTCTCCACTTGCCCGTTTGATCTTGGGTGATATGGCGGGGATTTGATATGTTTAACGAAAAAATTTCACAAAATTCTTGAAAGTCCACAGATGTGAATTGTGTCCCATTATCAGTGACTAGACAATCAACTACTCCGAAGCGAGCAAACAGCTCGTGGAGGCAATTTATGGTAGTTTCAGAAGTAGGTTTTCTGCACTGAAACATTTCTGGCCATTTGCTATAACTGTCTACTATGAACAAATAATAGAAACCATCTATTGGACCTGCGAATTCTATATGGATTCTTGACTACGGTCGATCTTGTCTCTGGCCATGGCTTATGGATGATCGGCGGTGTTTTCGCTGCTAAGGAACAACCCTTGTATTTTTCCACCATCTGTGTAATGTCTTGATCCATGTTTTGCCAATATACGTAACTTTGCATTAATGATTTCATTCTATTCTTTCCTGGATGGCCCATGTGGAAGTCCTTTAGGATTCGCCTTTGTAGTGTTTTTGGAATTACTACCCTTTCATTATTGTCACATGACAAAAAAACTGTCTGATACATTTTTATTTTTTTCTGCAATTTTTGTTTTCTGCTTCATTTCTTATCTCTTGTAGTGTGATGGGGAGTAATGACTGTCCATCTGGTTTAGAGTGAACTAATATTGTCTCGACTTGTTACACCATTCATTCATTATACCTCTTGAGAGGTGCAGTATTTATAGTGTCAGGAAGAGTCCATTATCGTTATAGGTAAGTTCCCATAACACATTCATAATAAAAAAAATATGCTCACTGTAAAAGCTGATAATAACTATCAAAATTGAAATAAAAATCTGGTATTAATTATCATCATCGTTGGCTTTATCTCATGTTCAAGAATTTAATTTCTTCTTTGCTGATCACTTCCTTTATGATGGCATTTCTGACTAAATTCCTACCAATGTGCAAGTTCAGGACTAGAAGCTTCCAGTTTCACCAAAACCTGCTCCAGTCATCCATTACTTATTACTGTTTGGATTTGCATGACTTGTTTGGAGGTGAAAGAAAATCAGAGTAGAAGAAAGTTCCAATGGTGTGAATTTGTTTAAGGTGGACCTCAACTTGCCAGGAAGTGACCCACACAATTGATTTCATGACCTTTCTCTGCAGTACATATAAAATGAGACATGCAGAATCCAGTTATGAAATTGCAATGGACTTCTACTGATTGTTATAATTTCAAGTGGAGACTTCTGTACTATGTCCATCATGCATAGCCCTCTTCACCCACTGGTTTTAACCGTTGAGATCTGTAGTAATCATCATCCTCTTGTTCCCCCATTGGGATCTTAGGGGTTAGTCACATTTAGTCTTGGTTCTCATGTTTGACTTTGCTGTCAAGGATGTCCCTATCAGGAGTTTAGAATTCCCAAGGACATCACTCTCGGGATCATTGAACCATGCAAGCCCCTCCACCATGACAAAGACTAACCATCAGAGGTACACATATCAGAGGTATTAATTTTAGGTTTTTAAAAAATCCAGTAATAATTAAAATGTTTCTATATATAATGTATGAATCCGAAATCTCCGAAAACAGGATGGTGGTCATTAATGAGTTAATCTAGATATTTTTTAAGACTTGTAAAAATCATTACAAGTCAAGGATGAATCTTGACTCCAAGAAATTGTACATTATTTGAATTGGAATGATAGTAAAAGTAAATAATGAAAAATATTGTGAATGAGAAGAAAGTCTGTTAAATCTTGAAGATTATGGGATGCAATATTTATCCAAAAAAGATCAGAGAATGTATTGGCTATAAGAAGAATAAAATACAATAAAGATAAATATTCCATTTCAAAATAATTCTTATCATAATTTGATTCATCACAGAATTTCAGTTTGTTTTATTCATTGTAACAGTAAGCTTAACTTATTTGTTTGTGATCATCCACTGACTCAGATACTTAACTGAAA